ACATCGATTGATACATATTGTCCTTGCAAAAGAAACAATGCAAAAGAATTCATCAACAAAGTTTGTTAAATAATGAGAAAAGCGGATTCTATCATTTATATCTACGATCAATTATTTTGTTTTCAAGAAATAATTCTCAGATGATGGAACATCTTATGTCAGGAAGCTGCAAATCGAATAACAATCAATCAATACAGCAACAGTTCGATTTTTTTGCTGTCATCGACTTTGAAGCAACATGTGTAGCCAATCCACCAATACCACCACACGTTTATATTCAAGAAATTATTGAATTTCCCATTGTTATCATCGATGTTAACAAAAGAACAATAGTAAAAATATTTTATCTATCTGGATGTGATTCGGCTGATTTAGATCTGTCTTATGTCTATTCTTCTAGATTCACACATTTCAATCGTATTGCCGACCAGTAATACAGCCAATTTTATCAGATTATTGCAAACAACTAACTGGAATAACACAAGTTCGTATTTCCAAGGATATAAATTATAAAATGATTTTGCATTTGAATTCGAATAGGAACAAGTCAATAGTGCACCTGTGTTTGCTGATGTACTCACCTGTGTTGAGAAATGGTTGAACAACAGAGGGTCTATTTCGTTCTCGAAATGCAGATGTATCTTTGTCACCGATGGGTAAGATATGCACATGATTATGAGTGTAAACAGAATGTATTCATTCAGTTTTTTTTTACTTTATTGCCTATTGTATGGCAGTTCATCGGATTTTCGAAAATATTTACGTATGCAGTGTCAACTCGCACATATTATCTATCCAAAGTGGGCATATGAATGGATTGATGTTAAAAAGGCATTTTCGAATTTTTATTCGACTAAAATGGGTCGTAAGTCACCAGCAATTATTATTTTCTAGTTGGTTTTATTTTATTCTTAAACAAAGGGATTGCTGACATGCTGAGATATTTGGGACTTCAAGCGGTGGGCCATTTACATTGTGGCTTAGATGATGCAAAAAATATCGCAAGAATAATTATCGAATTGATAAAGGTAAGTGATGAAGAAAATTAGAGGAAATGATTCTTAACGAAGGCTCAAATTTTGAAAGCAAGCAGAATTAGATATATTATTTTGCCTTCTATGAAAATATTTTCGAATATCCTTTATTGAAGAACAAAACAGTGCATTTTAGTAAAATCATATCTGAGTTCTGTTTTCAAATTATCTAACATCTGTTCATATTTTTGTGTCGGAAAAAAATCATGAATGAATATCAACGCAGTTGTAACAACAATAAACGATTTTCGACCACGTAGATGGATCTCTTTATTTTCGATTTTTTTTTCTTTTAGAACGGTTGTGTGCTGGCGCCTACTGATTTCTACTATCCATTGGCAGAAACACACGCAGAACATCCTAATTTATCTATAATGCGAACGGAATCTTCGAAGTTAATATGTCTCAACTGTGGACGATCTCATTCGGATGATCAGCGCTCTTGTGTAGAACGTGCGATCCATTGGCGACAAAAGAAAATATCTCAAGAGAAACAACAAAAATCGGACTTATCGCATTCTCAATTTAATCCTCGGCCATTAGTAGCATCGATAAATATTCCATCGCTGCTTGATTTTTCTCCTTTACAAGAGCTCAGTTTAGTCTCGAAACATCAAAATCTATCTTCAGAAATGTGCTATGATGAGGATTGCATGGATACAATTTGAATCTCAACAAATCTCTTGTGTAAAACAATATTACACATCGAAATACATTTGGTTATCTATCTTATTAAGAGTAATAAAAATATTATTTCAAACTTATTCTTTCGATTGTTTGACTTTAACTATTGACAATAAAGACGTCTTGTAAGTTGTCCTATTGTGATAGTAATAATAATCATAAATAAAACGATCTCTTATCTTGAAAGTGTTGAAAAATAGTCCATCTATAGAAGTAAAATATTTTAACAGCTATCTGTTTGCTACTTGTGTGACAGATGACAGTCGGTGTAAAAATGTACGGAATCGACATCGTTGTGAGGATGTTTGATCAGGAATAAATGATTATGTATAGGAAAAGCTGAATTTCTGACCCTCATAAAACATGATCGTTCTTCATGCAAATGAGTTGGCAACTAGAGGTACTATCAGCTGTGTTCTTTTGGGTTCAATTGATTAAATTCCGCAAAATTTCACATAGTGCATATCCCTGCTTGTGTGTGATATGAAAAATTGATATTAGATACAAATATTGACCCATGAGCGTTACAGGACATCAAATTATTACGAGGCAGTGAAACAGTCCAAAACCTGAAGTTTGTGAAGATTAGAATATCTGGATTAAGCCATCAGGTTTCATACTAATCATTCGAAATGATATTGTTTAACAGTCGAAAATATATTCCAAGTTGGCACAATGTTACGATTTCTACACTACTGACCTTACGTCCAATCACAAATTTCTGTATGCATATAATGTTGCTTGTTCATCTGAATTTAGAATTTTATTCTGCAGCAGAATTATGCTCGATGATCTGTACATATCCCTGTGCCCAAATCAACTTTCTGCTAAATGAAGATTTCTTCAACATGAACTCACCAACATGAATTCTTTGAAAATCTAAGTCTTAATTAGAATTCTGTCAGAACTTCACAGAAATCTGTCGATTTAGATGTAATAGTATCATGCCACCACAAAATGATTTTCTTATATTTTTTAAATGAAATTAGTCATTGTCGTCAGTAAATTGTTGTATTTTATGAATGTACTCCAAGAAGCAGTTTTTGCCCTCATTTAAAAAATAATACTCAGTTTTATGATTATAATTGGTGAGTATCGGAATAATTCACATTTGTACCCTCTACAATAATTAGGATATCTATGAAAATTCTGGTAGAAGAAATGCATGGACTTACATAAGATTTACAGACTGACTGAATATAAAGTATTCAAACTGTTTGCTTCTAGATGGCATCTACTTGCCGGATTAGTGACAACGCAAATGAAGTGACAATATGGTCTAATGTTGTGTTTTAGTCTCTATTAGAGATCCATATCAGTGAGATCGTGAACATTCATTGTCTTCATCCCGATTGATTTGCTTTAGTCTTAATAAATTGTTTCGTCATAGTTCTTGAATTTACATTTGTTCTTCGAGTCAATTCACTCAATAACAAGATTCCAATGAGTCTATTCAATATAATTGTTGTGACAGTCGTGTAAGTATTTTGGTAGTATTCCATGTGTGATCTACAGAATCATTACTTAAGCTTATGGAAAGTCGGATCTTACAAAATTAGCATGCGATATGCTGAAAGCTGTCGTTATTCATCAATCTCCCAATGTTCCGACGAAATAATGAGGCATTTACATGGAACGTTTAGGGTAAGATTGTTGTCTGAATTAGATGATTAATTGTCAAACAACGATTTAAAATGAGGCTGATATTATGTTTACAGATGTAGGATTGTTTCGTACACCCAATGGTTGTGTATGGCAATTGAAATAAACTATGTGGTTGTGAGGGTGTGAGTCTGAGTCTGGTTCTGAGTGCGGATGTGAGTATGGATCTGCTCTTTATCAACACCCACATCAACATCAACACCTATAGCGACACCCACATCCACATTCTCGATGAATGATTTCATTGTGCTCGGCAATCGTTTAATTGGCTTCGAACTCGAAACGATTGCTTCTTCAAACTGTTTTACCTGCATCGTTCTGGATCGATTGCATCTCTTCATTAAAGAAAAATTCGATTGTAATAATCACTCTTTGTAAACACACTCGCACCCAACATCTATACCTATATCCACACGATAGTTTCGCGTGCCTTTATTTTCCTTCATTCTTGTACATTTTGAACTTTTTCGTTCAATACATCCGAAACGTTTTCAGTTCTTCATACCTCAGCATATTTAATATCGCTACCTATTGATTCTATACGACCATTAAATAATTGTGTTACGAACCATGTGATCAATACTTCATTTTGTTTTGAAACGATTTCAAAAAAAACTGAAATGTACACATTACAAGAATCGTTGATTTCTATTTCTACCACTAACAGAAAAAATTCTGAAAAAGAACATAAGAATTTTTTATTTGTTGTGTTTAATACTACTTTAGTTTGAACTCTTGTCTAAATCAATTAGTCATATCTTTTTTTTTTATAAAACTTTATTTCTATTATAATTTTTCTTTTTCAAAGAGAATTTTTGTAAAAATTAATTCATACATTCCAAACTCAACTAAATTCTCATGTTAAACTATATCTATTATTATGTTCAACTTTAATTGAAGTCTAGTTTAATCTTGAAAGTTGCAGAGTTTGCGAGTGCTCTCAATTGAAATCTAGTCTATCTTAGCAAGTTCCAAGCAAAAAAAACACATAAAGACATTTCATATTATGATTTTTGAGTAGCATTTTTTTTATCGATGTTTATTTATCTTCAAATTTAACATGATTCATAGATGATATCCAAAGTGTAAATATATTATGCTGGTAAGTTTTGTTTTATTAATTTAAATAATTAATAAATTGGTTTTTTTTCTCTGCTGTGAAATTCATGTCAGATATCTTAAGTTTAGATTTGAAATATAAAATATACTTGTTTCAACTGATTTGTTGCAATAAGGTTTCGAGATAGAATATGTAGATATAATTTTATAATCAAGTAAGATATATTCATATGATTCAATGTATATTTATATTTCAATTAAAAAAAAATTGCAAGGACAACTTGATTAGATTTTTTATGAACTTTTATAATTAAGAGAGAATACTTTTAAGAGAAAATAAATATGTTATAATGTACTAGAATGGCAGTGAAAGAAAATTCAAGGTCATTTTAGTACTTACTATTGTTACGGATTTTTCTCGAGAGTTTATTGGAAGAAAAAAAAAACATATCTGTCGTCATCCTTTTACATTACGACATGTGAGAGAAACCTTTTTATTGGCAGGAAGAGAAAAGGACAAAAAAAAACAAATAGATTCTTACCGCAACATCAAAAAGTAAAATGAGCTCTTGGGATGTCGAACGTAAACGTAAATTGGACGATGAATTTGATAATGTTTTTCGTGAGCATGATCGTCTTCGACAAGATCTTAATACAAATGAAAATCGAAAATATGAATCTCTCTTTAATTTGATTGATAAATGGGAAAAAGATGCTATAAAAAAAATTAAAAAAACAGCCAAAACTGCACGTAATGATCTTCAACAATTACTTAAAAATAATAATGATCGATTACAACGTGCTTTACATGATACAGTTACAGATGAATTACAAGAAACATTAGAAAAAAAAATTAATTTTACTGAAGCTAATATTGATAATTGGATGGCAAATTTATCTGAAATTCGTAAACAATTAGGAACAATTTCTTCAACAATTGAATTTTCACATGATAAAGTTATTAATTTAATTAAAATAAAACGAGAATTTTCTAAAGAAATATTTCAACGAATTAATTTTAATTATCAAGAATTTCATTTTGAAAAAATTCGTGGTCAACCTAATTTTTATAAAACTCAACATCTTATTAGTACTATTCATCCTGCAATTATTGTTAGTCGAAATAAATATTCTAATGGTACACATTATTTTCGTTTTCGTATTGAAAAAACTATTAATGAACTATTTTTTGGAATAATTAATGATAATGATTGTCAAAAATTAAAAGAAAATCTTCATCCTATTCAATCAATTTATGGTTGGTGGAATATTGATCGTCGTGTTATTGCTGGTCGAAAAGAACCATATGTATCAACACTCAATATATTTGATAATGATGAAATTATATTTATAATCAATTGTAATGCACGTGAAATTTTTCTTGAATATCCATCAATGATTAAATTAAATTCAATAAAATTAATCCATGATGGATATGAATGTCCACCTCCATGGAAATTATTAATTGAAATAGGCAAACCAGGTCAATGTTTACTTAAATTACTCGATTGGGGTAAAATAGCACACGGAAAAAATCTTTCAGATAGACATGTACATTGTTTTTGTTCACCTGATTAATTAATATCTTATATATTTATTAAATATGTGTATTGATTAGATGAACGTTCATATCATTGTGGCAACACAATTAATTTTCATTTTTGTTTTTTATACGTATAAAATTAGATATTGCTTCGATTTTTATTGTGCATTTGATTTTAGTTAAGTCATATCTTTATTTAATAATCGGAAAAAAAAGAGAAATCTTCGTCATATAATCAACTATAATAGCTGAGGCGAAAGTTTTATATTAATCTTGTTTTTAATGTAGTGTTACAATGCAATATCGTAGAGACTTTATCCTTTTTACTTCGAAAGAATGAAATGGCTAGCGTAAAAATATATCAAAGCATTTGATCAGAAATTGTTTTTACAACTTCGGTCACATTTTTTTTCTCATTTTAATATATTTGTTTGATCTTTTTCGTTGTTTTCGAGTATATAAAAGATTAAACAAATAAGTACTTCAATTGTTGCTGTTTACATTACGAAAAGAAAATTTTGTTCTATTTCAAATAGCATTGTTTCGTAGAAGACTTGATAAGATTTCTTTTTCATATAGAATTTCTAATTTCTGTCTCGAAGTCGAATTGAGTTTTTTTTTTAAACTGCGATTATCAGTTATAAGAAATCGATACTATCAGAAGATGTTATAAAAGATTTTATATTGGCTTTGATAAAATGTGAAGAATTTTTATTTCGATACAGTTTAAAAAAATCCTGTCATTATGTTCTACAAGCTCGGTACAGGCAAACAACAAAGATAATCTTTCCCGGTTTCCAACCGATAAGATAAGTCTAATTCTGTTGTTTTATCTATCAAGATATGTTGAATAAATATTTAATGTAATTTTTCAATTTCATAATCGAAATTTTTGTTTTCAAAACAATACAATAACTGTATTTCAAATGTATTAGAAGAAAAGATGTTTTAGAAAATCACATTTCATCAGCATTAAACCTTAACAATCAAATATAATAAAATGAATCATTGAAAATATGATCTAAATATAAAAATAAAATTTCTCATGATTCATGTTCAATACGTGCATCTTAAATAAGATTTTCAATATAATAAGATTTATTAACATTTCCATTAAACAGAATAAAATATGTAACAATCAAATCAGTAAAAATTTGCATTTTATACAATGGTGAATAATATTCTAATTTAATACTTTATATTTGATAATAATTTTAATTAATAATATTAATACAAGGCTTTGTTTGGAGAAAAAAAACGATTTTTGTCTCTACTTGTTTGACAAAAGCTACTGTCATTAGCTATCAAGCCTAATTTATCATTTAAATGTTTAACTAATAATTATATACATGTCGTACAATCTTCGGCAATGTCCAGTTCATATATGATAGTATTTAAACCATTGAGAACAAGTGAATTTTGTGCTACAGTTAATATACAACTTTTGACATTAGTAGATTTTTTTGAATGATCATTTTGACACTAAGATAGAACTATGATGTAATTGCTCAAATTCATCTTATGAACATCTTTTCACATTTTCATAATCAATATTCTAAGCTACCAACGTATGTGAATTTGAACTAAATGAATATGCTACATGAATATGAGAAAGACAAAAGATTTGCCAATTTTTTTTTATACATATCATTCTTATATAATAAAACAATGTGTTTATGGTCCTGAACTTGATCTCTGGGACATAATAGCAGACATATTTATAACAATAATTTCATTTATACCATCATTTATTTGAAAGGAGGCAGCAAGTTGTATTTGTTTTAAGAAATCTAAACGATCTGATTTAAATAAATCAGAAAGATTCATGAAAAATAAGAATATTTCGAAACATATCTATATAAACCTGTGCAGATAACTATCATAAAATAATTTTCTTCTTTAAATACTACATCATAAGTAGAGATGTGTAGAGATACAGCAAATTTCATCTTATTCAAAAATGATAAATATAAACAAGTTTCAACAGCGATTTTCTTCGTCAAATATTTCATTGTCTCTGTCTGTCGTTATTACTGTAGTAATTTGAAACATTGATTTTGATATGTAACATTTTTGAATAGAATATTTTTTTTTTGTAGAAGAGACACATTCGTGATAGTCAAACAATTTTGGGATGAATTTTAATTATTAGAATACAGAATCATTTCTTCATTTCAGCTTACATCAACCAGATGTGATATCGAGAAATGGACAGTTGTTCGCTATGAAAATTTTAACAAGAATTTTGAATAAAATAATGAAATACAACAATACAATAGATTAATTTCTTGTGAAAGAATAATTGTTATTATCAACTGATTGATTTAATTGTTCTAATATTTGTCAAATCGAGAGTCTAGGTAAAATATGCTCTTACCCACCATGAGCCCCATTTTACTTGAAATACATATCAGTCGATAGAGCTTGAAAGTCTGACTGTACTCGATCTCATTCTAAGCCGAAATCTCAAGAATATAAATGTTTGGAAAATAAAGTCAAAATTAGCTCTGTTACATATTTTGAACTGACTAAAGCCACCAGGAATTTATTACAACTTCATTTAATATCATTTTTCTGAACATTTCTTTGAGCTGTTAGCTCAGGGCGGGACCCAATAGAATTAGAATTTCAAGTTCTGTCGATTACTATATGTCCTAAGTAAAATAGCGTTCAGAGTGTGTTTTATTAATACCCTCAAAATCGATGATTCTAAGTTGGATTCAACGAAACACATATATACATAAGCCATACAGACTAACAGAATGACCTCACAAACAGTAATCATGTCAGTTACTACATCAGAAACTTTTAAAAACACACCTTTATTATATAACGGCTATTCATGTATAATTGACTGAAAGTGACATAAAAATTCTTTGAAAATTTAGACACTCCAGAAAGCATGCATGTCATGAATGATTAGAACATGAGTGTAGATGAAAACAAGGCCTACACCCAAGCCTTTTACAAGCAACTGGCTTAGACTTGTTATAGCAGAGATGCAGAATTCACCGTGAAAATGAAAATTTTTCCTGCTATCAAAACAAAAGAAAAAATCGATTCCTATAGCTAAATAGTTTTTTGAAACTTCCCGCAACGCACATTGATGTACACAGGTAGATTCTGTATGTCTGCGTTATACCATCAAATTCAGTTTTGTCGAACTAATATATATGATCTCAATATATTTTATGTAGAACAAAACTTTCCTGATAGAATTTTCTTGATAATCATATAACTTAACAGTAACCATAATTCATTTACAGATCTTCATAAAAATAAAACATTATTTTAATGTATATAATTTTCATATCATATGATTCTATTTGAATAAATCGGACAATTATAAGCATATTTTCTAAGGCATATTAAAAAAAAACAATAAATGACTAGAATTAGATTAATTCAAGTCTAGACATATACACAATACACAAAATTCACGTTGAGCATTCCATTAGATCGGCAAGTGCATTATCTAGTACTTGTCGAGCATAATCACCTAAAAATTAAATTATATATATAATCTATATATATATAACAGTTGAAAATTTTTCTTACTAGGCATTTGTGGTGGATGTATAAAAGGTGAGCCAATAGACATATTTGTAACTGATGATGAAAGATGTGATACATAACGTGTTGGACGAGATGCAGAAGTCATTACAACAGGTTCTAAATATTGGAGAAAGAAATAAACTAAACAGTAGTGACATAAACGAATGTTACAACTAGTAGAAAAGTTAGCAAAACGCTTTCGATTAGAAGATCTGAGTGTGGATGTAGGTATTGAGGTTTTCTATTCCTGTACATACCCGAATTGGAGAGTGGACACCACCAACTTAACTCTTTGAGTCCGGAATTATTTTTATATAGTAAAAAGGACGGGGGGGATGGTTGATAGATAGATCGACTCTATAAAAATTCCTTGATTCGAAACCCCAATCATTTTATACTAAACGAAAGAGCTCGGTGAATTGAGCATTTTTTGTTATAGAACTTGGTGTTTTAAATGAAATCATAAAGATTTCTGAGCGTAACAACGACTAAAATTTTACAAGTTAGCTTACCCAGAACTCTTCATGGTTTTATTTAAAAGATCAAGTTCTGTCACAAAAGGTGCTCAACTCATTGAGCTCGTTTGCTTGGTATAACATAGTTGGGGTTTCGAATCAAAAAATTTCTATAGGACTGATTTATCTATCAACCGTCCCCCGTTCTTTTTAGTATATAAAAATAATCTCATACTCAAAGAATTAAGAGATAACCAATAATCATCAGTAAATATAGACAATCTTAAAGCACAAATATCCTAAACACAAATCTCCATGCAATTCATATCATTAAATAATCAATAGAACATGTTTTTTAAAGTTATTCAAGCTTCGAAACCTTAGGGCGTGAATGTGCATTGCTCAGGCTCAAACGATTAATGCAAATATTACCACTTTCAGTTCAGACTCATATATAGTAATCGATAAATTAAACATTATGCGTTCAACACATCTACAATGAAACAACGTGAACAAATTTTCACGAAACAAAAAAAATTATTTTTCGTAATCAATAAATTCTTGATTTAATGAGACGATATGAAAAAAATTAGTTGAATATTTTCTTGTGACTTTTTTATGAACTATTGAATTATGTTCTTATTTCTATTACTCAAAACATAGACAATTATTTATCCTATCGTTCTATGTAGTCTAAACAAAACCATATTTATGCATTCTACGTGTTGAAAAACTAAGGTATTGCTTTTCTGGAGTTCCTATCTTTGAGAATTTAATAAAAATTATTATTTCTTTATCTATATATGAAATCTAATTCATGGAACTAATTTTTAGTTTTGACTATCATCTCTTCAATTATTCTAATTGAGTGTTATTATTTTTTTCTACAAACCTGATTCAGGAGTAAGTGCAAGAAATTCTTGTCGAGAATTTTTCGTCGAATTAGTTGAAGTTTTCAATGGTATTGGAGAACAATCAGGTGTTATTGGTTTTTTATATCGATATAGATGACTTTCTCGATTTTGTTGTTGACTTGGACTTGATGAACGTTGTGCAGGCTATTAAAAACAATAAATTTTTATATTAATATATTAAACTAAAAATATTTTACATCGAATGATGATGAACATCGCAATGGTATTATTGGTGGTGTTTCATCAAGTAGATCATCTTCATCAGAAAATAACTTTCGTCGTATTTGAGAAATATTTAATGATGAATTTGAAATAGCAATAGGTGGATCATCTTGATCACTATTCGAAGCAAAACTTTGTATTAATGAATCAAGATCAGCTGCTGGTGGAAGTGAAAGACGTGTTTGACAACCCACTACAAAGAAAAAAAAAACATAATTAATTAAGACAATAAATTTATGTTATGCTTTTTTTTTTACTATGTCTAGTAGTTCGAGTTTGATCAAGTAAAGAACTTGAATTTGTTGATGAACTATTTGACCAAGATTGATTTTTTATTTTGGGAATTTCATTTGTTGTTATAGGTGTCGGTAAATCAAGTTGTGTATGACAAAAATGATCTGATGCTCGTTGATATCGATCACGCATTTCTTGATTACTTTTTTTGAATATCAAAAAAAAACAACAAAATACTATATATATATATATATAGGAAGAAAAACTAAAAACAAAACATACAAAAGAGATGTATCAATTTGAATAATATGTTCACTTAATGGATGTGGATATACTTGAGCACGACGTTCAATTGATAGAACATCAACAACAGATTTATTCTCTTGTTGCTAAAAATATTATATAATAATAAGTTTTTAAGAAACTAAAATAAAATAAACTAACATCATTAAAAATACTAAAACTAGCAAGTCTTTGTTTAAGATGAATTGATGTTGGTGGATCGAATGGATTTGATATTAATCTATAATCCGGTGTTTTTTGTTCTTGTAAAGAATTTATATCATTTTGTAACATGGAAATAGATGATGATAATGAATCTTTCATTAGTCTTCAACAAAAAAAAAGCTTTGTCTATTTTCTTCCACCATAAATATCTTTCTTGTCATCTAGTGGACTCGCTCGCATTCATTTGAGCATTGAAAAAATAGTTAAATTGTAGTGAATGGATGATGTACACTCACTCCATCTATTCGATGATCATTGATTGAATAGTTTATATCACGTGTATAATCCATATTTGAGATTGTTCAAAAGTTCTATAATGATATTTATTTTAACTGATGTTTTATGATTGAGAATATTGTTTCGGATTGTATTTTTTTTTGTGTACAGTATTGTTAAGCGCGTTATTTTTTAGGATTGGTTTTTATATAGTTAGTGAAATATTTTTTTAATTAAATTTTTAAAACTAATTTATTTAAATTTTGATATATAACTACAAAAGTTTTAATGTAATTCATGTAGAAAGCTACGGATTCACGTTTTTGTGGATCCGGACCCGGTCAAGTTCAAACCCGATGTTTTTTCCCATCAATATCTGGCATGCTGCGTGTATATGAATAAGTGAAGGATCAAGATTTCAGCTATTTATTCGCTACTCTTAGAAAAAAAACACTCAACGTACAGTTATATCTTGTTGTTGTATTTCTCATCTGGAAACCAGTGGGTCCACGAAAATGTCTAACCGAGCTGAACAAAAAATAAAAGGTTGGACCCGGCTCCAGATCTGGAAGGATCTGCAGCTCTCTAAATTTATGTCTCTTGAAATTTATAGTATTGCTATAATAAATTATGTTGATCTATATTATCATGTACAATCATTACTATTAAGATCTGAATAAACTATTAGTATTAGATACTTTATATCTCTTGATTTCATTCTAATTTGATATGTTAAAATAGAGTTTAGGATAGATATTCTACAAAGTGATATTTGAATTATCATAGGATAATAAAAGTTCAAGTCAACAAAGTTACGATCGTATTCTGCGTCCTATGTGAATGTACTCTCAAAATGTTTCTCCGATCGATAATATATAAAAAGCTTAGAATATACTTTAATGTTTGTTCCGGAATGATGTAGATGACTGTATTGTCGAAAACACAATTTATAACAGATAATGATACAGGTTTTATGTCGCGTGTGTTTCGTTTCTTTTCTTTTCTTAAATTGTTTAGGAAATTTTACTAATTAGGCAATAGGATTTAGTAAGCATCTCAGTGGCGGAAGGAAGCGATCGTCCCTCCCTTCCAAAATAATTCTTTTCCTAACAGAAGATGCTCAACAATGAGTAGATACGATATCTCTAATGAAGTTCAAAACACGTTTTATAATCATGATCGTTTTCCTTCCTCAAAATCTTACATCTGCCACCGATACATTCTATGTTCAATATTTTTTTTTTCGAAGTTACTTCACCAAACATTTGTCCTAACGAGGAATTGTTAATGTACAACTGTTCTACTCCCATTTGCAACAATCATCAACTTGCAATAGAACTATTTTCATACTTCTTATTCAGAATGAAATTGCTAAAAATAATCAAATTCTTTGTTGAATTTTACTACAGTGACACAAATCTCATAGTTATGTCATAATCGAATATTTGTTTGTGAAAATTTTTTATTTTCTGTTATTAGTTTATCAAAATACAAATTCAAAAAAACAAAACAATGTTTTTTATTTATCTGGCAATCAGTTCTCTGTGCAAAGTTCATTATGAAGGCTATACTTTTTTCAATACATTGCTACCACTTGAAGGTACTGCTGCAACTAATTTTCGTTGTTGTGCTAATAAACTTTCAAGATGTTCTACTCGTATAACGGCAGTTTCATATTGAACATGTAATCCACGTACTTGTTCATCTTTTTTCGTAATTGCTTCTTTAATTCTTAAAGTAAAAGAAAAAAAAAATAACAAAAAATCAAGATTAATCTATATCATAAATCGAATAATGTTACTTTTCATGTATAGTTTCTAATTCTTTTTCTTGTTGTTGTTGTAATATTTCAATTTCTTCTTTTTTCTTTTCTAATTCTAATTGTTGTCGAGCACGTAATTCTGCTATTTCACCTTTTATTCGACGATTTTCTTCTTCAGTTAATACAAGTCGATCAGCAAATTCTTGTCGAATAATTTCTGATAAACGATCACGTTCTTGTTGTAATGTTTCAGTGATCTAACAAATAAATCAAAATTAAATATTGAAATTTATCAATTTCGAAAAACAAATGACCTCTTTATATTTTCATGAGTTGTTATGAAGCATTATACAAAAAAGTTCAACGAATTCGTACAAAAGATTCACACGAGATTATTTTACTCTGAAGGTTTAATTGATATTTTTTCGATCAATATTACAGAGATGTGGCGATGAGGACAAAGTGAGAGGTGCTAAACTTACTTTTTTTCAATAAAAAATCCAATTTGAGGTGAGAAAAAACTGAAATATATTAGCACACAAGAGAAAAATGCACGATTTAGATAGTTTCAAGGATGAATGAAGTACTCGATTTGCGCTTTTTCTCTCAACATTTTAAGACTTTTATAGTAGAAATTCAATCGCGTTTTCAAATATTTGATATGTGTAAATATGTCCGTGCATTTAGTATTCAATATATTTCACGAGTTTTTCAATTTTGTAAATAATAGAGTAAAGAATTATAGTATAGTAGTGGACGTAAGTTTAGGATAGTTGTATATTTGAATGGTAATAACTAGAAAGAATCTGAAAGACATTTTAGTAACTAAAAGAATTCTCTATCAGAATTTGTGGATTTATAATCTCAAACAAAACTGCTTGGATGAGGATATCTGGAAAATCAAGACCTTCAGAACTAGTTTTTTGACATCTATTTGAAGCTTTTTGGAAGTCGTCTTATTTGATAGAGCAAATAATCCTGAGGAAAATAAAACTTCTCGACTCTTTGCACTACTTTCATTCATTGAAATGTATTCAATTTGTAGAAGAATTCAAAGTGTCGAACATGACGAAATCATTGAAATTTTTCATAAAAAGAAAAGAAAAATGCTTTTTCGTTCGTCTGTAAATTGATTGCAGTTCGATGACGGAAGATCATAAAGAACGCCAAGATATCTTATTTTGCTCAGAATTATTTGCTCTATCAAGTAAAACTATTTCCAAAAAGTTTCAAATAGTTGTCAGAAAATTGGTTTTAGAGGTCTTGGTTTTCCGGACATCCTCATGCAAGCAGTTTTATTGAAATTTTTAGGTTCATCAATCCTGATAGAGAATCTTTTTTACTGGTCTAAACTATTTTCCATACTTGCAGAACATTTCTTATAAAAGTCAGTTAAAGTAAAATATGTTGATTGACTTTTATTTTAATCAAATAGTTGTTAAATCAAAATTAAAAAAAACAAATATTCCTTATAAGTTGATAATTAAAGATCTCGTTGAATTAAAAATCATAATTAATAGAAAGGTTCAAGTGAGTTCAAAAGAAATTTAATTTTCGAGATCTATTATATACAAAATTTACGTGAAATAGAATTTTGATGAGCATTGAATGAAATCATTACAATCTCATGTAAATTACTTCAATGATTAAAGAATTATTGGCTGTCTTTTTTCGTTATTGCAGAAAAGCATATCAATGATCATCATGCGCTACTAGTTTGTTTTTAATTGTATTCGAGGTCGAACGATGCATACGGATCTCAACTTATACTGCTATTCCTATTAACTAGACTCGAAATATATAAGTTGCTTATTAGTAAGATACTATTTGTGTATCTCATTGTTGTATTTTCTTAATACCTTTTTGATATCATTCATTTCTGTATCTTTTTGTTTAAGTAATACTTGTAATCGTTCGTTATCACCTAGAAAATAAGAAAAAATTGAAAAATTGAAAAATAATTTAATTGATATATTAACCTTGAACTTCTGTTATTTGAGCTTTAATTTGATTAAATCGTTCTCTTGTTTGTTTTTCAGAATTTTCTAATTCATGAAATTCTGCTTCATATTTATCTCGAATACGTCTAAAATATACAAAATTCATTTAAATTATATTATAAAAAAAAAAAAAAAGAATAAAGAATTTTACTTCACACGATTTTCTGCTGAATGGTCTGCTTCTTCTTTACTTATTGTTGTATCTGATTCAAATTGTGCAATAATTTTTTCAATTTCTTTATCTCGTTCTTGTTTCATTTGTTCTCGTAATTCACGTTCTTTATTAATTAATATTGTTTCATGTTTTTTTATTATATTTTCTTCCCAATTTTGTTTTTCTAATGTTAATTTATCTTTTAATTCTTGAATTTCATTAACATGTCGACGTTCTTGTTCTAAACGTATTGCTTCATATTCATGTTTAGTTGTATCAACAACTGTTCGATGATTTTCTTCTATATCACGTCGAAGTCTTTACAAGAAATAATTCAAACTAATGAAATCCAAAAAAATAAAAATAAAAATTTTTACTTATCAAGATCAGCACGTTGTTTTGCTATTAAATCATTTTGTCGATTTTTTTCTTCATCAATTTCTGTATATAATCGACGTCGTTGTTCATTAAACGTTTTTTCTTCATCATGTAATGATTTTTCATATTTTTCTCGAGCTAATTCACGTTCACGACTAATAGCTACTTCTTTTTCACGTTCTAATTGATCACGTAATTCTTCTGTCATACGTATATAACGTTGTGCAGCACGTTCATCAGCTGTTAATAATTCAGCTTCATGAATAGTTTTCATTTTTGTTAATTCATTTTTATGTTTATTAATTAATTTTTGAATTTCAGGTTCTAAACCACGTACAGTTAATTCTTTAAGTTTTTTTGTTTTTTCTTCAATCCAATGTTCACGTCGTAATTTTTCAGTTGCTTCATGAACATCTTTTAATTGTTGTAATTCATTACGATGAGATTCTTCAATAGATCGCATTCGATTATTATATTTTTTATCTATTGTTTTTAATTCGGATAGTAAAAGTTCACAACGATGAGATAATTTTTTCTTATCATTAATTAACTAAAAGACAAAAGAAAAAAAAAAAGATCACATATTTTGATAATATTAAAATCTTTATTAAACACATAAGTATTTTTTCAAGAATTCCTTTCAATATAAAACTATTGTCGAATTTTTTAATTCACCAAAATTGAGACACTGAAAATCATTTTATTTTCATTCTATTATTTTAACTAATAATTTATTAAGAAATAAAATTTTGTATCATCTGATATAGAAATATTAAACGTATGTTTTATTGCTCTATTTGAATGTTTTTTGCAAAAAACTTTTTTCAACCTGATCAATAAATTTCAAATGTCGTTGTATAATAGCTTCATATTCATCTTTTTGTTTTTGTAAATGATAGTCAATGTCTTGTTCAAAATCTTTACTATGATGAAGAGTTGTTTCATATTGTTGATTCTAAAATAAATATGGAGAAAATGATCTATTATTATAAATATTCTTCCAAATTTATTTTACTAATTGTTGTTGATTAATAATTGGATGTTGTTGTTTTTCTTCATAGTCCATTCTCGATGAAACTCTTGTATCTCTACGATCATGATTTATTTTATTACTATTTTTAAATTCATCTTCACGAAGACTTGTTCGATAGGGAGCAATTGTTAATGATTTATATGGTGTTGTTACCTAAAAATTGTTCGTTTTTTTCTTCTTGTGTTTGTTCTAAATTAGGTTTTTTTTTTACTTTGGTTCCATATCGTGTTTGTTGATCGATTGATGATGATACTTGAATATGAGGTATTGAAACTGATTGTACTAATTTTTTTGATTGTTGTCGTCGATCTGATTGAGGTGGAATTGTAAAACGAGTCGTTGTAGGTGATGATGTTTCACGTATAATGACTTTTTGTGATCGAATACTTTCAATAGTTTGATCATTTTCATTAGTTTCATCGAGATGAGTAACTACAGAATCAATATGATTGGAAGTTTCTGGTGGACGTTCATCAATAAATGGAGATGATATTACTGTAGTTGGATCAATGATATAGACTAGAAAATAAATTGAAACGAAATTTTCTGTGTTCATTTGAGATTGTTGTACAAAATTAATAAGTTTTATTTTATAGAGATGATCTTTGTCCTGACGGGACAGCACTGTAAGCATCCAGGAGGATATTAGGTGAAAGTATACTTTTTAATGGCTTAAATAGGACACTATAGACTCTGACATATGGATTATTTAATAACATAAATTAATCGGAAAACACAAAGGAAACCTCGTCGAAAAACGGTACTAATAGGGATTAGCAGTCTTTTTTTTTTACAGTGAACCAAAAAAAAAACAATAAGGAGAAAACATTCTTGAGAAAATTATATGTAATTTGAAACTGTGTCGTTGTTCAATCTATTGTATGTCTGAGATTCAGAAAAAGTCATACTTCTTTAACATCGAAGTGCTTTTACGGAAACATGTGTTTGTTATTATGAATTTGCACAATATTCTACAACTTTGAATTGGACGAACCTTCTGTCGCCATTCATAACAATTATATAGCGTTGACGCGGACGTTCTAAGACTGGGCTACAGTTTTTTCTAGATAAAATTCATTTTTCTCGACATAGACATCTTTTGTTGGAGACTAACTTTATATTTTCTCAGTAATTTTTCTGCAAATTTTTTTTTTCGGATTTCACTTCAAACTATATTGACATAAGCAATATTGAGCAGAAAATAAGATCTTTCTCAGTTTAAAAAAATCATATGTCCGCCTGATCTATGGAAAAATGCCAACTGTGAATCGAGACATCAAGACCAACACGTTTTTAGTGGGAACGATATCTTTTCTGTTCGTGTAAAACTTGTGTCGAATGTCATATTCTCACGACTCATGCGTTCTAAATAGATATGGGCAAGATAGTTCCAGTTCCGACAGAATCGAGATAAAAAACGACTGACCCTACTTATGTTTACTTAGCACTACAAAAAAGAAAAGCATAGTCCTATTAATGTCAATTAATGCTTAGCTACTTTTAAGTTACGAGAGAAAGAATAAGCTTGTCTTTTAATAATTTTATAACAATATGTATTACCTGAATCATTTGCTAATGGAGTTTGTATAGAAAATTTTTCGACTTCTTCTAATTTTCTTAGTGTTTCATAAACATCGTTTAAGGTCACTTTTGATGTCGTTGTTGTTGTTGATGATGATGACGATGGTGATGTCGTCGAACTAACATATCTTATTTTCTATATAAATTTAAGAAAAAAAACAAATAATATTTAGTAAAAAAACAAAACAATAGAAATTTTATTTAACTTGATCAATATTTGAAGTTGATGGAATTGGTGATGATACAGGTGTTATTCGATGTCTTGATATACTACTACTTGATGGTAATTGACGATTATATAATATATTATTATTCTTTTGTTGTTGAGTTTCCTATTTAAAGAATATAAATTTGATATAAACGAATGAATATTTTACTATAGGTGATGTTATTTCTCGGTGTTGTTGTTGTTGTTGTAATTTATTTTCTTCAATTCTTCCAGCATTTTTTTGATACGATTGTTGAATATTTATTGAAGTATTTTCAGCTTTTAAATCATCTTCTGTTGATATAACTTGTCCAGTATGAAATGATTCTGAAGGTGGCATATGTTGATTATCATTCGATGGAAAAAGATTAGTGTCTGTAATTGTTCCATTAAGACTATCACGTGACATACCGATAGGTCCAACACCATGATTTTGTTGTTGTACAATAAATGATGAATTTAAATGATGAATTTCATCAGTCCAACGACGTGTTTCATTCCATTCATCATCATCAAGTTTTTGCTCGAAAGATTTTTGTTGACTTTGATCAGTAAAGAATCCATCAACATCATGTTGATGTGGACTTAATACACGAAAAATACTTGATGATGGTGTTATAGTTATTGACTACAAAATTTATAAATATTTCTTTAATTTTTAATTTAAAAAAGAAATTATTATGTAATAATAATGATGTGTAAAATAAACAAAAAAAAAAGAAGTTTAATTTGAATATTATGATTAGAGAAGAATGTTTATTTTACGACTGATAAAAAACTATAAAGTATTGATTTATAAACAAAATTTTGTGCTTTTTCTAAATCTAGATTCGGAATTTCTATTAAACTTATATATTTGCATTTATGAACGATTCTATGGAATGCTTAAAAATAAAGTTTTCACAAGTTTCAGATAGAACTCATCGAGTCCGAAACCAATTCAACGGGCTTTAATTTCAGAACGTAAAAAAAATACGTACACGATAGAAGTAAAATTTATTTCAAACATATCAAAAGAAAGCAAATATTTCTCTTTGAAATGATATCTTAATGATTAGTTTTCTGTAAAACTTCTACCAACAATGAGAATTTTTGACAAGAAGCATTGTGACGTTTTTCGTGTTTCCTTGATTTTTAGACTCACAACAATGGGTTTGACTATTTCTAGAAGATTACTTCGAGAAAATCCATTCTCAACACATTTTATTAAGCATGATCTCTCTCATCATGCGCTGAGAAGAACATCTGTTCTCTAAGTACTGATTTAAAAAATTTCCAAAATGTAATGCAGTCAAATGACAAGAAATGAGGCTTCAACAAAATCGGCATCTCTACGTCAAACAGTATGAAATTGGTAAGAAAAATTGTATGCAAAAACATCATGAAAACAATGTCAAATAGGGTACAATCGTATTCTCTGTTGTATATGGATTTGTTAGTTGCAATTGTCTTCACTCAAACGTTCTTCTTTATGCTTTTCAAAAATTTGCTCATAACTCCTAAAATATGAGTTATATCTCTTAATCGGTCGATAAATGAAGGTACATTTTGTCTCAGAACTTACGGTCCATTCGTTATTTCTTCATGAAGAATAGTGAATTATGTTTTGTAACTAAAAGATAACTTTGAATACTGCATTTTTAAATGAATAAAAACAAAATTATTTTTTCAGTACTTTTCTGACTGTTCTATTGCATATCATTTAGAAATCAAGGACTATTATTAGATGTATAGTTGTTTTTTTGTGGAAATTTTCTCATATATATTATAGCAATCAGTTGAAAATACAACACGAATTTACTGAAATAATTCAAATAAATTGGAAATTTCAAGTAAATCTATTATGAAACAATGTTTTTTTTGTCAAGGTTGAGAAGCACACTGCTATCATTTTTTGTTAGTCGAAAAAAGAAAAATTTCATGTTACCATAGAACTACAAACCTCATGAAATTCTATCAAAACTCATACTTTTTTAGTATCAGCAGGTGGTGATGTAATCAAACCCGATCGTTGACCACTATTACTAAGTCGCCTAAAGGTTTGACACACAAAAAAAAAAAAAACAAATTTGTTTTTTGAAAAAACATAAAACAATCTTCACCTTTGTCTAGCACTACTTAAATTTAAACTTGTACTCAAACTTGTTCTACGTTCTCTAGCACTGCCTAGAATAAATAAAAATTTCTTTTACAATAATATTTCAATTTATTACAACCTCCTCTTGTAGGTGTTTGTGGTTGTTTTGATTGAGAATTATTTCGTGCACTTGATGGATGTGATGAAATAATTCCTGGTTGTTTTAATTGAGTATCACTTCGTGCACTTGATGGACGTAAAGATATAGTTCTTGGTTGAATTGATGTACCTTGTAATGATAAATCTAATGTATCATTTTTATGAGAATGATGATTGTCCATAATTCACTGTTATTATTTATCTTACTATAATTCAATAGATTCACAAAATTGATTTCACCATAAATTTATTCTTTCCTTACAATAATACTTAGCAATAGACTTCGTTTAATAGTCCATATGGTACGTACCCACAAGGCGACGAAGTGAATAATCAATATCGGAAAATGCACCAAGAGAGGGCGCCACATATCTTGCCACTTTTTCAAGAACTTTTGATACTATATTTTGAACTTATAAAGTGATTTAATGATTTTGGTAGTGATAGTTTTACTCGCCCTAGTTCGGTTTAAGAGATCGTCACTGATTGGTCGTTGAGTATGAACCATATTGGCTGGACATAATCATAGAAACATCATATGATGATAAAGACTATTGTCATCATTTTAGACTATTGATAAATCGTCTACGTATGCAAAAGAAATAAAGAATTGTTTATTGCTGTTTGTTATACCATATTGTTCATCGACGTCGTTGCCTGGAAAAATAATTTTATGCTTAATATGTGGAAAAAAAGATCGACAAGCTCGTTGCAAGTATACGCAAATTTGCACAATTGAACGAGAAGAAAAAGTTCGTAAAGCATATCAAACTCGTTATAATAAGGAATTAAGTGGTACACTACTAAATCAATTAGTGCATGCAATTTGCTACAAATCACTTGTTGTTGGAATTGAACCGGTATCTGTCGCAAATAAAATAGGAAGACCAAAACGAAAAAAAAAATATTCATGTCTTGATTCAAATCCTGCTAGAATATTAATGGATATTACAAATCATCCAACAACAATTACTACAAAATCTAATTTCTTTTCTACTGAAGACAGAAACAAATCATTTTATGTTGGTGAAAATAATGAAGTGAGTTTCTTTATGAATGACTTTAGTTTAACGTACAAATGTTTTTTTTTGCTTGTAGAAATATACTTCTGAATTTACAGTTGAGTGCAGCTCGAATGCAGCACCAACATTATCTTCATTAATTGGTATTCATGATCAAATTTCTAGTAGTAGTATATCATTTGTACAATCCGAACAAGATATTATCTCAAGAAATTCTACTGAAGCATCATTGATCACCAGTGGTATAACAGAAGCAACATCCACATATGAAGTGTTTGAACCAATTATAGTAAACTCAAATTTTCAAAAATGTAGATTTAGGTTCTATTAATTTTCTATCTTTTTTTAGAACAATTGTAACGACGTGTTTGCTGATCGACAAGAGGAAGATATTACAACGTCAACTGATATTGAATCAATAGAAAAATATACAATAGATTCAACACAAACAGCATTAACATATGAAGTATTTGAACCAATTGTAGTAAACTCGAATTTTCAAAAATGTAGATTTAGGTTCTATTAATTTTCTATTTTTTTTTAGAATAATTGGAACAATGTATTTGCTGATCGTCAAGAAGAAGAAGATATTACAACGTCAACTGATGTTGAAGCAATAGACAAATATACAATAGATTCAACACAAACAGCATTAACAAATGAAACTATATTTCAAGTATTATCAATGACTGATTTAACTGAATGACATAGATTTTTTAACACTTGATTTTAATTTTCAAAGGATGATACACGTGCAGCTAGTCCCGACGACGATGATTTATCTTTTGAAATGGTCATCAATGGTCAATGTACAAATGAAGTTGTAATACGAAATGAAAGTATAAAACGAAAACGAGATAAATTGAAACGAACACGAAAAAGAGTAATTTTGATAAAATTAGCATTTTATTATTTTACTCATGTTTCCATTTAGATATTTACTCATTCTTTTAAACATCGTCGTCGGTCAATCATCACACAAAAACCATTACCACTATATCCTGATCAAGATACACCTAATGATTTTTATTCAAACAGTTTTGAAGAATTATGGTGGTTGTACTCGTTGCAACTGTTATAAAAATAATTTATCTTGTACAGCTTTTTGTAGATGTCATCAAGATCTTTGTTGTAATAGAGTAAATATTCTGGTTCTTCCAATAACTTTATTATTAGTTTCCTTTTTTTATTAAATTTTTCTTTATTTAGACTTACAATTCATCAATTCAACAAGTGAAAATCAAGTCGAATAAATTCGGATTAACACCTTCATCAATTCAAAATAATTCATTTCATGTAACATCAATACAATCTCAATCTATCTACGTAAACGATACAGTTGGTATCCAGCTCTCTTTTTTTTCCAGGTTGTTAAAAATTTTTTCATGTTACATTATCTAGAGTATTACTGAATATCATTCTGAGATGGCATCAAATAACTCGTACGTCGATCCAATCACTACATATTCTGATACTAATATATTGAACCCATCGCTACATTCTCAATCAACGAATTTTGCAACTGATCATACATTTTACTTGAAGAAGAATCTTCAAATTACGACGTCGAAACGTCGTAGACTATTATCAGTATTTATATTACTCGTTTTAGTATATTACATTACATTGTGTGCATTTATTTTTTTATAGGAATCTTCTGAAGACGAACGTGTATTTCAATCACCATATGCGTGTTCAACTCCGAAGCTCAATGGAATGAAAAATAATCTTACATCATTGAATTTTGTGAGTATTTCTTATATCTTCACATAAATGATCTGAATCTTTTTTTCTAGAAAACTCCATCACTGACAGTATCATTAACACCTCGTCGCACTCCTCATTTTCGAAAATACTTTCGCACAACGAAAACTGCAAGTCAACCTGATCTTAATTAAACTTTTCTTTTTTATTTCAATGTGTCTCGTTTGTTGTTCTGTTTCTTTTTTCTATGGTCTTATTTGTGTTAAATTTCATTATGAAAGCAATTTTTTTCATTGATATAAATAATTTATTGTTTTTTTTGTCTAAATTCTGTATGACCTTCTGTACAGTTTTGAAAGATTTTTTTTTCTACAAAGTACCTTATCTTTTTTTGTCAATCTCTTCATTTATTTAATTGTTCTCTACGCCTATTGAAATTTATGACTAGTTTTAAATTTTTGTATTAAATAAATTATTTCAATAGCAAAACATTTCTATTTTCTCGAAAAGTGATTCATACATACTCTAAATTTTCAAAATAAACATATTATTATGAAAAAAAAACATGCATTTCATCTTAGAAATACATTTATATATCAAAGAGAAATTTTTCGAAATATAAATATTCTTTTTAGATGCGTTCATATTTATCTAAATGATGAGAAATATTTCTTAGGGAAATGATGCGATATGACTCAACGTTGAGATGTGTTCAACCAATCACGTGAAGGCAATACGCCATCTGGAATATCTTTTTAAAGCTACTTTTTTATAGAAAACAAAAAATATAGTTTGATAGAGAATAATTTTCTCTATCTGTCGATGTCCAATTTATGTTCCGCCTCTCCCAAAACCGATAACACCAATCACTATGCGCCGATATTGTTTCTCTTATTTCACTATACTCTTTGCCGTGTGGGTCCGTACCAATAGATGTCAGAAGATTTTCCACGGAGGCTATGAAATACTGTGCGATTGGTTAATCAATTGAATTAATGAAAAAAAAGAAATAGATAGGAGAAGAGAAGAAGATGAATTATATATACATATATAATCATTATTTCTTTTACCAATCGATCGATCTTTTCCCGGTGATGGTTGTAATATTCATCTAAGTCAATCTGTTTTTACTTTTATTTCAAAAATGTCAGACAACAGTTAGTTCTATATTATTTCAATAGAATATTCTTAAAAAATAATTTATTCGTTTAATAGTTCAAACACCTCTATCATCTGATGAACCTGTAGAAAAAGAAACTAAATCAGATATTTCATCTTGTTCATTTGGGTATAGAAAAACAAACGATTTTGTTTTTGTATTTTCCGTCATCTATTCATTTTAATATTTTATTAGTGATGTAAATACATCTACATCTGTTCGTTTATTTGGCCAATTTAAACAAAATGGTTTAGGTTTTAATAATACATCAACATCAACATCAACATTTGGTCAAATAACATCACGAGAAAAATCTGATGATGATGATAATAATAATTCTTCATCGACATATTTTACAACTACACTTTCAAAAATCTCATCGACAACAACAACAACCACTGGTTTTGGTTCACCATCAACACCATTAGCTACATCACTTGCATCACTTGGTGCCAAGTATAAAAAAAAAAAAAAAAAAAGAAAACTTATTGAAAATTCTCATATGAAACTTTTTCTTTTTGTCTTAGTAAACCATTATTTGGTGGTTCAAGTTGTACAACACCAAGTTCATTTACAGATCTGAAAACAACATCAACAAGTAAAATTTAAATTTAAAAATAAGTTATTTGTATATTTGTTTTTTTCTTTCATTAGATAAAACAAATGATGATGATGATGAAGAAGAAGAAGATAATAAAGCATCTCTATTAGAAACAGTTGCTGAATATGAAGCTAAACGAGCATCAACACATCCAACAACGACTATTCAAGGTGATACGTCAACCGGAGAAGAAAATGAAATAACGAAATTTCAAGTTTGAAATTTATTTTTCTTCGATTTTGAATTTATTTTTTTTCTTTATTGCCAATAATTCTATAGATGACTGGTAAATTATTTATGTATAATGGTGAACAACAACAATTCGTTGAACGTGGTTATGGAATATTAAAAATAAATGAAAGTCATGATCCATCAGATTGGGATCGATTACAAGCTCGATTAAGTAAATTAACTCAAAACTTAGCTGCAATGCATCACATAGAACTGAAAATTTTTCTTCCATCCGATAGTAGACATTCTTTACAGTGCCTACCTTGTTTATTCAGTTTCTTTTTATCTTCTCAGATTTTAGAAGAAGAAGAAAAAAAATTAAGATTGCATACTTTCTATTATTAATAAAAAATCACGTTTCAACTCGATCGGACGTATTGTACTGGAAAAAACGGAAAGCAGTCTCTACTTTTGACAAATAGATGTAGGATAGTTCGAAATGTATATAGAATTCTATTTAAAGAAGCCCTCCACTCAGAATTGATTGCCGACTTAGAATGGACCGTTTGGGCTAAAATTTTCAGGAATGAATGGTCCTAGTGAGAAACACTTGCGATAAAAATTTCAGCCTCATATACCCTACTAAACCGAACTTCTGGCTTGTTTTACTACCTTCCAGGAGAATCGAAATAATTCTGTCGTTATAATGGGTACAGAGTTCTGGCCCATTTTAAGTTAAAGCTAGCCTCTGTGCGCAACTTTTCATCAGACGGAATTTTAAAATGCTCTTTTATTCATTTTTCATGAGCATTTTAACGGACATGATGTTAAAAATAAGCATAAAAAAATGTGACTTTACATTAGTAAATTCTACTTTTTTCAGCCCAGGAATCAAGTATTAAAAATCCGTCCGACGAAAAGTTAGCTCTGATTAAGATCTTTAAAACAAAAACAAAACATTGGGAATGCTCCGAGTTGAGTGGGAGTTATTTCAATTTTTCAGTGCGAAAAATACTAAAGAAGTTTTAGAAATGAATTTTTTTATTCAAATCCAGAACAAATCATATTACAATGAGATACATTTTTAATAGATTCCAGTGGACCGTTTTAAAATACGTGATAGATGAAGGTAGTTAATGCTATCTGACACGCTGGTTAATATAAAAATGTTCTATTCAATAATAATCCAAGTGGCAACAGAGTTTTTCCAAAACTGAAAAGCTTTAAAGACCACGAAAATTTCTCCGAAGATATGGCAGTAGAGTCAAAGTTTCATGTGATAAGTCTTTGAAAATCCGGTCATTTTCCTGAAAAGCCATACATATTCTGAAAGAGAAAATTTCGCTGCATCTTTCTGTGATAAAAAGTCAATTTCGATATTTTTTTTGAAGAATTCGATTTTCCAAGGGAGAGGTCCCTTAAACTAAATCCATACATCCAGAAAATAAAATCTGCATATGCTTGTCTTTAAATAAATAATGAAACGATATGTCGTGGGTATCAACATCGAATGGTTCAAACTTGTGAAAAGCTTCTTCATATATATATATATAGTTCGAATTATAACACTCAAATACAGAAATATGATAATGTATAAAAATAGATCGATTGAATATATTGACAGCAATTTTATGTCAATGAGAATCAGAAAATTCTCATCCCGAATAGACTTTATCAATTATTCCATTTTGTAGAGTATGTTGTTTTAGGTATATATAATGAAATATGAAGTCCCACTTTACGAGAATATTCAAACGTTGTTTTAAAACACTGCAGAATTACAAACTGCTTGATGATGCAAGAAAAAGTTTGAAATGACGTTTTTGTTTTGCTTTTTCTTTTTTAGTTATGAGACTTGATAAATCATTTCGTGTTATTCTTAATTCACCTATTTTTCCAAAAATGACTGTTGAACGAGCTACTGATCGTTCAGTACGATTTGGTGCTCAAGATGAATCACAATTACGAATATTTATTATTAAAGTAAGATTTCTTTAAAATAAATATCAAATCTTTATCATTTCCTTTCAAGGCTTCAGCAAATGATTGTAGTAATCTATGTAAAGAATTAAAATCACGTATTCAAATTATCGAACGACAACAAGTATCAACAACAAATATCAATACATCAGTATGTTATCTCTTCTGTTTTTTTTCTTTAAGATATTTATTTTTTATTTTTTGAATTTTAGACAAACAGTAGTAATACAAGTGCATCATCGGATGTTGTTGTTCTTGATGATTCATCTCCTAAAGAAAATTTATTAACTGCTCAACGAAAACGATCTCATTCAAAAAGTGATTCAGATATATCAGAAAATACAAATGATCTTTCAAAAAAATCAAAGTACATAGAATTTACATTAAGTTTTATGAGAGAAAGCATAGAGTCTGTGAATAATCCCTTCGTTAGTAAACATAAAATTCATGGAGCGTAATGAACTTAAAAAGAGAAATTCTATTTATAAATGATTTTTCTTTCAGGAAAAAATGTATATGTCATAGTTGACATGAAGAATTCAATTGAGTTTGGAATCCATGAAAACAAGACGAACTAATTGATTTAGACAAGATTTTTACAAAAAAACATAAATAAAAAAGTTTTCATGTTTTCTAAATCTGATTCAAAAAATTTATCACGATATCATCAATTCCAGTATTTAGACTAAACATTTAACTTTCGATGACATTTGTACTTCCAATCATTAATTATGTTCTAATATCATAATTATATAAGGTACATATTTCGTGCTATTCTCATTCTTCTTTTTAAAAGTCATCGACATCAACTTCCTGCTCATCTGATTAAATACTTAAAAAAAAAACATAACATTTTTTCAAAAACTTTCATCAATCATTCAATATTCCCATATTCTCGAGATGAAAAAAAATGTTGTCGAAATATTTATTTTATTGAACAAAATAAATATAGTCAACTTATTATTATTTATGTATAGAATAACAGTCTAAACATATCTCTATTATCAAGTAAACTTCAAAATATAATCAAATTATATCAACAAAAAAAAAAAAAAAAAAAAAATTTTTTTGTTTATGTACTCTCGATATTTTTTATTACAGAATTATGAAACACTATTCCAATCTCGACTAACGTCTAAACTCACTTGCCATATATATATATGTATATAATAAAACCTGGATATTACAAGCAATAAAACACTTATTTATTATCTCATAAATAATAACAATCTTCTCAACAACATACTTGTTGAAAGTAATCTTATGTTCTACATTTTAATATACAATTGCAAACGAAAATGAGAGATCTTACTGAATTATTTCCAATGTTGTTTGTCTATCATAAATATAAAATTACGAATTAATTTCAAAATAGAATGTAGCAAAAATAAAAAGAAACAAGAAAGCAAAAGTGTATATTTCCATAAAATTCTGATCCTCATAATACGTAATATGTTGAATTATGCATGAAAAAAAAAAGTTAATAAAACATACCCACGAATGAAAATATATGGGATTACATTATATTGCGTTCTTTTTATTACACAATCGAACGTATTTTTAACAAAAAAAAAAACAAATCTATTTTCAAAGGAATTGTTTTCTTCTTTTTTCTACAATATATATGTAAAAATTTATTTTCTATTTTAATACTAATAAACAACTTCTCTGAAAACAAAAATCAATCTAGAAGAAATCTTCTTTTATTCTAGGTTAGTTGAAGAATATCAAGAAGTCAATAACGATACTAATCGATTGACAAGTGAAGATGATTCTATTGAAGGACGTCCCAAATCAAATGAACAAGAAACTGCTAATAGTTAATAAAAACAAAACAAAAAAAAACAATACCAGATGTCAGAAAAAATTCTTATTTGTTGTTATTTTTATTCATTTATTATTATTATTATTATTATACTGAAAAAAAAAGAAACAGAAGTCTAGATTATATACATGTAGATTTTTTTGTTTTGTTTTGTTTTTTTTGTTTTTTTTTATACATGACATGGACGATGTTGTCTTCGTTTAGATATATGAAAAAGACTAAAGGGTAAACAGAAAAAAATATGTTGTTGATTATTATGAATTGTAATATCATTATCAAAATGTTGTTGTCGATTGATAGCAGTACTTGCATTGGATTGTTTCGAATGATAACGATGACATTTTTTTAATGGACGACAATATGAAGAAGTTTTTGATTTTGTTTGTTGTCGTTGATTTTCATTTTTAAATATAATTGGAGCTGCTATGATAAAATGTGATGGTTGATTAATAATATGAACAAATTTTGGTGTACTACATAAACATGGTGCAAACGACATTATTATATTTTTCAATGAATTTTTCTTGCTATTTATATATATGTCGATCTCTACATTCGACATGGGTAGATAGAAAAAAAAACACATCTACTCAGCATGTGATCGATATGCCGGTATAGTTTTTGTTTTTTTTGTTTTATTTTATCTTATTTCAGATTTATGTTATTGTTCACATCCACCTACTGAGTTAATTGAGTTTCATTTAAGACATCATTCGATCAACCATGTTAATGTCAAAGAGAAGAAGAAAAAGAAAAAAAAACAATTTTTTTTTTATTATTTATATTATCTAATCGATGTTCAGTGTGAAATTCACATAGAGTTAATTATAGATGTATATCGTATTTAATTGAAATCACTATCAACATAATAGTACAAAATTTTAAATATGATATATATATATATATGCATTAGAGAAAAAAAAATACAAGAGTAAATATATGCATATAAATAACATATGGTAGACTGTAAATATCAGTAATCTTTAAAAATAAGAAAAGGTAGATATAGATGGGTTTTTCTTTTTATTTTATTATCACTTGTGTAAATGACATTTAAACGAACTGCAAAATAAGCTTTTTCTTTTAACGATAAATATTTCTGTATCTTCAGTTAATCATTGTCATCACTATGATTCTTCTTCGTTTTTTTCTTTTTTTCTATCATTTGATTATTGGACGCTTGCTAGCGTCAGCCATGTCTTGTCAATATTATATTGTCGCCATATTTGTGTTTATACCATGAGTATCAATATGTATACATAGGCAAGAATTCAACATCTTATATACGTATATATACGTATATCCACAACTGTTCTCTATACGCAAGACATACACAGAAGTTTGCGTTCGTTATATTGTATAAATTTACAAGAGTGTCTTTCTCGTCTTTAAAGAAGTAATTAGAAGGCGTAAAAGAATAGTAACAGAATACAGAAATGGCAAATAGAGTCGCGCATGCTCTTCGAGTTGGATAGATGACGATTCTCTAGATTTTTTTTTTCTTCTCTTCTCGTTTTTCTTTTTTTTTTCTCATCTCGACCTCATCTTTTGTTCTGTTTTTTCTCTTCTTTCTATCCTTTTTCGTTGGTTGAGTTTGATTCGTTTGTTTAATGAAAGAGAGACAAAAGAAAATGAAAAGTTGTTCTCTTTTTTTTTTTTTTCGTTTCGTTTTGTTTCATTCTTTATATGATTTGAATAGACGAAGAGTAGTGAATTTTACTTTAGACAGAGCAACATGTTGGTCACCTCTTCGCAATCATCGACTCAACGGCCATTAGGTTTATCGGTAGAAGAACTATTTGCATTAGATCATCAATATCGTCGTATTGAACAACAACAACATTTAGCACAATTACAAAATCAAGCACGTGTAGCATCATCATCGAATCTTAATCGTTTAACTAGTCGTTCACTTGATCTCATATCATCAACAAATCCTCATCTTACTGTTCTACCATCACTTGAAGTACAAGGTCATGGTTATACTCATCGACCACAACCACCACCACCACCAATAACAACTTCATCCGTTCTAAATTATGCACGATCACATTCAATTGATCAACTCAGATATACACCACCAGTATTTTCAACGCCATCTTCGAAACTTTTAAAGCCTACATATAATCAACGATCAACAACAAATGATAGTATACAACAAAATTATCATTCAAAATATCGAACCAATTTACAGGTACGTTATGTTAATAAAACAAGTAAATAATTGTATGCAAATATATAAATAATATACACATTAAATGTGAAAGAAAGAACAGTAAGATTTTTTTTTCCTATTCTCAAACCTCGATCATGACTCTAGGGAAGTTGACGTTTCAAAGTGCACACGCATAGAAAAAGAAAAAAAAAGAAAACCTAGTTGCACGTTGTTATTTCTTTATTTGACAGCATCCGCTTATGGCTACCAGTACTCCGCCATCTTTGGGAAATAATATCATGCATAATATTCCCTCATCATCAATTGATCTTAATAATGATACACGAAATTCTTGTAAATTACGTCGACAACACCCTATTAAACGTGAATCATCACGTCGAATTGTTGTTCGACCTGTTGTACAAAGACGACGAGAACCATCAATTAGTTCATCATGTGAATCATTAGATGAATTACGTTTACCTACTCGTCCTATTCCAACTGAACAGGTTTTTATTTAAAAAGAAAAAAAAAATCAAACATTTATTTTATTTTATTTTTTGTAGTCAAATATTTCCAATCAATCTGCACCATATACACCATCAACATTATTAATAAATGATATTATTGATGATTCAACGAAAAAATTAAATAATTTAACACGTACATCATCAAATAATGATTCATTATCTGATGATAATGATATAAATTTATATGAAATGCGTGTACCTATTGGTAAAACCTATGATACATCAGATATAAGTGTACAATTAGAAGGACCAAAAATTTTAATACATTGTCATACAATAGAACCAACAGATAAACGTGGAAATTATCGTAAACATGAATTTAAAACCGAATTATTAGTACCTGATATTGTTGATGATGAAACAATTGTTGCTTATTTAACTGAAGATGGACAATTAATTGTTGAAGGTAAATATCAATTATGGGCATGGGAAGATATTAAACGAAAGAGAAAAATTGAACAACAAAAAATTAAATCTTCATCATCTCCAATTCTTCAATCAACATCACCACTATCACCAGAACCACTATCATCAACAGATTCTACTTTAACATCGACAAGGAATGATGGAGGTAGGTTAATAAGTCTAGATAACTAAACATTGTGAAAAAAAAAAAGGATTTTATTATAAACTACAAAAATGTCATTTTCATTATCATAACTTGAATTCAGGTCTTATCGATTAGACTATATATTGTCAATTGTTAAATAGTTAACAAAAAGTTCTTTAGAAAAAAAGTATTGATGATAAAAAAAAAAATTCATTCTTGAGCTGATGTAGGTTTTTCTTTTTTTTTACATGCACATTATATCTAATTAATTTTCTAATACATTGCATGTCGGAGTCATCGACGCGATGAACGAACAAGCAGGTAGTTAATCAAAATAAAAAAGAAATAAATCAACTAACTATATATTTCTAATTCTGTGTGTATATATGAATGTTTATTAACTCTTTTAAAGTGTTTTTTTTTCAGCACTTCTAAGTCAGCTCAAAGCAGTTGCTGATTGGTTCAGTAGGGCATTATCGCCCTAAAAGAAATTTCTTGTCTTTTTAGCACGGTTCGTGTGTATATGATGTTGTTCTTTCCCAGCATGGTGTGCCATTTATTATTTTTTTTTTGTTTTTCTTCACTAAGTTCTATTCAAATTATTTTTATGTTTTTCTTTTCAATAGACCTGCAACAAGAGAAGATATCACCGTCACTCATATCTAATAATCAGCGAATAATGTATAATAATAATAATAATAATATTACTCCTCTAAATACAATTGAAACATTAAATAATAATCGAACTTTAATTCATATTGGTGAATCAACAATATCATCACAACAAAATACAGATACAAAAAGTGTAAGTGATATAATCAATCGTTTTAATACAATATCTACACCAACTATATGGGATGGACAATATACATTTACAAATGATATTCCACCTCTTCTTATATATCATATTCGTTTACCATTTGAAACATTAATGGATTCTATACGTATACAAGCTGATTCAGAATTAAATTTATTAAAACTTTTTATTGAACAACAAGAGAGAAATTTATTATCACAATATGAACAACAACAGCAACAAAATAAAATAATAATACGTTCAACATCACGTTATTGTCGTCTACCAAAAGATCATAGATATGATTATACTCATTTACGTGTCATATTTCTTAAAGATAATTTTATTCGTATTGAATTACCAACGTTAAATTAAAAAAAAAGTTTCTTTCTTTCTTTCTTTCTTTCTTCCGTCAATATTAATACCGGTAATAAAATTTTTCTCTCTTGTGTTTTCTTTTTGTCATATTAAAACTATACTTATATTTACTGGATTATTGTATCATTTTTCTTATTTGTATCTGTATATATATTTTTTTTCTTTTTATGTTCGTCTTAGAAATGTGTGATAAGAATAATGAATAATTCTTACAATATCAGTATTGAAATTCTAAAATATTTGCTAAACAATTCATTTGTGATATTAGATAGAATATTTAAACTTTTATTCTTTGTGTTCTGTAATAAAACGAAAAAAAGAAGGTTAATAGTTAAGAAGTTATTGAATATTAATTACAAATTTCTTTTGATCTATAAATAAATGTCATAGAATGCTAAATATAGCATTATTTTCATTAAGAATAATATGAAACAGACAGTTATTACTCATCGTATTTCTCATATATATTTCTATCAATTAGAATGATTTATCATCTGCTATTGATAGAATATTTTCATTAGAAAGATCGTTCATCAAACTTGAACTTTCATAAAAGAAGATTTGTTTATGATTGATTGATTGAATTTTTTACTGTGTATGTATTGCATGATTGCATCTTTTTCATTCAGATTTTAATGATAATATGAATATGTGTATGACATGCAATTCAATATAATTCAAGCTAGAAAACTACCAATTATCGAAAAGGCAACAAAATATTCAAAATAAATGGAAGTTTAATATTGACTTCGGCTAGTACACTTATGCATAAGCTTAAAATAAGAAAACTAAAGTTCATAGTAGAAAATTGTTCGATTCTATAAAACATTTTTTTTTGAATATTTCATAGTTTATAACTATAATTTTCTATTAAAAAGTAATAAGAAAATTATATGTCTTTATATCGACACAACTAGGACAGTTTTAGTTCAATAAATCTATATAAATCGATTGTTTGGTCTTGACAAAAGATTTCAAAGAAAATTAAAAAAAATAAAATAAGCGATTCCCTATTCTCTGCATATCAATTCTTCACTATGTGAGTTATTCGTTTTTGTATTCATCTAAGGAGAAACGATATGAAAAAGAA